TCTTGTAGACAGGTGTCACATTGGCAAGCCTAAACAGCAGTTGCTCAACATTATCCAGTCCCAGGCCTCATATCATGATCTTTTGGACTGACAATACCTATGAGCTCAAATTAAACTTAAGAGCAACTCATTATATGTAAAACAGGACATTCTAGAACATTAATTCTACTCATGGACACATATAAGAGTAAGTTGAAGTTAAAATAATCAACAATTTAAGATGCAAGATGATTTTATAAAAAATGTTTTTCATTAAAATGAATTTCATTTTCAGTTTTGTACTATGTTTCTGAATGTGTTTCAGTTAATTAAAATACAAACATTAAAAGCAACCAAAAATGCCCTGTATCAAATTTAAACATTGATAAATACCTCTGTGCAGTGTGCATATACTTCGTGCATCTTGAGATTTTAATTTCAGCTGAAAATGCTCTCCCAGATAGGCCTTACATTTACAGCAAGTTAGCTGTTAAAGCATGTAACTAACATTATTACGAACTTTGCTGCAGAATTTACGTAGCGCAAGTAACATTTTAATAATATATATACAATTAACTCACAATGATTTTAAAAAGGTGAAGCACATTATGATAATTCTACGAAAAGTAAAAGGTAACTAGCTTGGGCACATAATTTTAAAAAAGGGTAAGAAAACTGCAAGTATAGCCATAAAAAGATCATCAATTCCCTACATCCACTAATTTCCCAACAATTTCAGATGTGAATTGATTGCTTTTACATGACACCTCTGTGCTTGTCCATCTGCTAAGACTAAGTGTATTCTTTCTTTTGACTGAATGCATACCAATCCATTGCCAGTAAAAACTCCTGCATAGAATGCAAAGTGTATTTTCTTGTGAGTAAGTATACTCTAGATATTCAAATTCAGTTACCAGCTCAAACCCTCAAATGTTTGTGGGAACAGGACAGCAGACAAATCTAAGTATAGTGAAAATAACCCAATTCAAAAGCTGAAGTGACTTTTCATGGAAAATACTTTGCAATGTTAGCCCATCATATCTGTGCAATTTATAGTCGAAGTATTTCAATGTGACAATATTTATTGCTACGAAAGTGGAAAAAGTGACTCGTCAGCTGACTTTAAACAAACGTGTATCTATTGCTGTGGTGATCAGGTCATTTAAAATTCTTCCTTTTGAATGTGCGTCACAGAGCATGAAGAAGTCTCATGAGGAACTTTCTGGCCAAGGGGATTTACTGGGCCTATTATTCTGCTCCCAGTATTTATCCTCTGATTCCACAGGAATAGCTGTTCCCGGTTCAAGAGTTTCTGATCTAATATGCA